ATTGCATGTTGATCGGACTGCCTTCTTCGAGATATCGCTGGAAGCGAGCAAATGACCCTCATTCGAAAAGCATTGGGCAAAACATCAGAAGGCATTGTCGGTGTCATCCCTACGGCTTTTCTTCCTGTATACCCTACGCTAAAGGAAAAAGATATTCCGGGCCTTTTTAGATCCCGTGCACCTTTTTCACCTTCAAAAATGAAATCTTCGTCCGCCTACGAAGCCAAAGTTCTTTGCGGAAGACAACATAGCCACTCGAGCCTTTAACTGTTAATTATTGCGCGCAGTATGATGTTACATTGGCAACGTCTCTTCGACGGCACATGTTATTATTTGATGTGGTAATTTAGCATATATATATATATATATATATATATATGGCATCATTATTATAATATCCTGGCAGACGCTAATAGTGTCTTGGTCAATACACCCAAGTCAATAGATATGATCCAAAAGAACGCTTCCTGGTGTTTCAGTAACGATTTGAGGTCTAATAGACGTTTATCTATTAGTAATTTTTATAGCGCGACAAATATGCGTTATGCACGTGTTGGTCGATAATAAATGGTTAATCACGATACGTCCGGATGATCCGCGGCGAAATCGGATAGCTACGCTTACCATGTGATCACGACCAGTTTACCCAGACGCATAGAAAAGAAGCCCAAACATGGATGGACTGGACGATATGGCGCTTAATATCCGGGCAGCATCACCTGCCAAGTAAATGCTATATGTATATGAATATCTTTCTTTTCTTATAATGTGGTATAATGTAACATACTCTGATGGATGCTTACACAGCATCAAGTATTCCGTTCGCACAGTGACTTGCCTGCTTGTCAATTTTCTCGTCGTAATCTTTTTCCCCTTCTGCCGAATTTTCCACCAGCGGCTACTTTTGCATAGTCAGCCTGATTCCCCACGTGAAACCAGCTGCCGGACTGACGGTAGCGATACAGAGGCTGTTTGAATTTGTTCCCCTGACGAGCGACTCTCTCGCCAGTCATCCTAAAGGGAATAATTACCTAGTCTGCAGTGAGGCCCACCCCAGCCTCGATGTGTCGATGGCTGCCCTTTATACCGTCAGGAGAATGTCTTACTCCGGCGACGGCAGCAGCAGCAGCAGCTTCAGGAGTAGCGCTGGGATTTGCTTGGTCTACATATACATCCCCATAGTTATCCCTACCTCTTCTAACTCCTACTGCCCCTTTTACTGATCCTTTTAGCCTCCTTCCGCCCCCCTTTAAATGTCTACGATCCTCTGACTGCCCTCAAGCACAAAGCAGCAGTTCGACATCCATCAAGAAGCTAGCGTGCTGTGTCACACCCGTTCGCACAAAACAGTCATGTGAATACAAACTGGCGGCCAGCCACGAGCCAAAGCGCAGATAGAAATATACAAAACGAGACACAGTAGCCGCCAGTGTTCTCGCCATAGGACGCCGGCGTACATCGAGCCCCGCGTCAGAAACAGCATAATGCGCTCGCAAGGAAACGCATGCGGACGTCAGTGTCATCTCGAAATCGCAGTCAGTCTAATGTTCTGTTGTAGTCATAGATGTACACACCCGTGCTGTACAAACACGTACGGATAGGCGCGTGTATACTTAGGCTGCAAATATCGTTTATTGCATTTGAAAGTGTAGAAATCGTGTACCACTACTACAAGCAAGGCCTGCCGTAAGGAACGATATACATATGCATGTGCGATATGATGCCTAATCATTCTATAATACTATTAACTACGCATATCCTAAATTAAGCGTTACCCAAGCGTGAGTCGGGCGTACACCTGATTATGCTTGAAATAACTACTGAGTATCTGCCAGAAGTATCTTCCAAAAGAAAGCCACAGGGCAGGGGTGGCTTATATTTGACCGTCTGAACTGATGGATAGCTGCTGGCTGTGCCTGCACGTCTGTCCGCTTGTTTTGCGTCGGAGTAGAAGCCAATAGCAGTTTTCCTGCGGAGCAAATCGAACCGAGGCTAAACGTCAGAGAAGTAGGTCGATTTAAAGCGGAGCGCGATCGATGTTGAACTCCTGTCCAGTCAGCCCGTCTTCTTGAGACGAGACTGCGGACGGACGCTGGCGTATCATAAAAACAAGTCCATACTCTTGCAGTTAAATGGCAACATCTGAAGGCCATACTTCTACAGTCATACACACACACGTCGAAGAATAATGGCCGATCATACAAATGCATCGAAAGCCCTAAGGCTGCTTACATTTTCGTTGCGCTTTTCACGTATGTAATATAGGGAGAATTAATAATTTTCTACGTTCGTACTCGACAGTGTTGTACGAAACACTGATTTTCTATTGCTGTATTACATGCCGGGGAAAGAATATACTATCAAGGAACTAGCTTTCTCGCCCCGTTGCTGTTACGTTTTGTCAAGGAATGCTCTCAAGGATAAAATCGACGTGTAGGGCTTGCTTAACGGGGATGTTGTTGTAGAACGGATTGATTATGCGAAATGGCCGGATACTGTTAAAATAATGATATTTCTTCTTATTGTGGAAGGCCTGCTTTGGTTTGTCAGCAATAGATGAACAGTAACGGTCAGTTTCATTTCGACGGAAACAGTTGGCTATACATCGTGTCATCGCAGTAGTTTCGGACGCCTCAGGGTGTCAAAATCCACACATTCATACAACACACAAGTTGTACAGGACCTTTTGAGCCATAATGTTTTAAATCAAATAGACCTTGCATTGTTCGCGCACCTGCGCGTACGTCATCAAACCACAAGCGAAACTATCGAACTTTAGTCATCAAAGATCAACGTTTTTCGATCTTGGCATACTTGAGCTACCAGTGAAGAAGCAGATCAACTGTTGAAGCATCGAGTTTCTCCAGTCGGAGATATCGCTTCTTCTCTCGGGCCATCGTTTGATTTGATCTGAATCGCTTAATTTTTATATGGACCAAGCCTCCTTAGACTGTGGCTGATTGGCTTCATGCCTGGCGTGTTTTTCGCCAGGGACAAATGAACACAGGATGCAGCGTACGGCTAGCGCGGGAAAGCAGTAGCGGCGGTTCAGAGCGGCTGTCAGGTCGAGACGCATCTATGCTCCTAATTCTCTCCCAAGTTCCCCTGGCGAAGCTAAACGCTATCGCGACTTCCTCCGGGAAGGACCTGTGTGGGGGGGAGCAAACGCCAAGCTTAATATCGGTGGCTTCTTCACACTCAGTCGTCGTTGCTTCGACACGACGGCGACTATCCCATTCGCTTCGATACGATCGTGTTCGTTAATTACCGACCCCCCACGAGCTATCACTTCTCAAACCACCCAAAATCGTCCGTCTGAAGTAAACCTCTGCAACTTTAGTGCCGGTGGCATCAACCCCAGAGGCGCTACAGTGCCTCGAAACTATTGCGAACAGCAAGGTTGTGTCTGCATGTTTTTGTATGTATGTGCGCACTTGTATGTTGCTGATTCAGCGACTCGTACGTCGAGAGATGAGATCTGATCTGCTTTTAGTTTTACCTCCTGTAGCGTCGTCATTCTGTGGATCGTCACGGGCAGTCTTTTGCCGCTGCTGTTGAGTGTTCTGGCGTCCCGCCTCATGGTTCGCACCTTACGAGGCTTGGTCGCTGAGATCCGGGGATTAACTCTCTGCCTTCACTGGCAACTTTGGCGGCGTCAGGTCAACATAAAGCTTCGCTTTGCATCGACGATGTAGCGCATTCGCTGTACAGAGCACGCCCGCCATGTCTCCAATCATCCGACTCGTATGGGTTACGAGCTTAGCTAAACAAACCGAAAAAATGTTGCGAAGGTGTCGGCATCATTCAAGAGAGCTTTGGACAACGGTCTCTTATTTGACAACGATTGCGTGTCACGTCGTGAAAGCATCTTCAGCTTTCCTTGAATGGCGTCGACGGCTTCATAGAGGCAGTTAGCCCCTATCCACCAAAATCGATACTTGTGAAGATAATCTAATGCAGATGTATATAATCAATATGGACATATAGACGTGTCTGCGCACGTGTGAACCACATTAAGTTAAAAAGCACCAAAAAATATGTAGTACCATTACATTGACCTCTTGCCGATGCAATGATAGCTTAGTTGATCATATTTACATCACATCTCGCTTAAACACAGTGATCCAATAAAATGTAGCGCGAAAAGTCTTAGCTTTTTTTTTTTTCATGTAAAATCGCTGATTCTGGGGAAAGCGAGACATGCGTTATATTGCAGTATCGATCATTCATCATCGAATCCATTGTAAAATGTTTATTATGGACTTCAGCTATAATTTACACACAGGTAGTTCTGTTTTAGCCACATTCTGTCACACCCTTCGTTATTCTTGGACTAATCGAGTTTGTATTTGTCTTTATTTTTTTTCCTTCTTCGAGAAATTTATGATCGCATTCAGCTGTTTCGACGGTATAAATAATAGCCGTCGCATCGTCCTGGCCTGTGAGACTGCATGTTAGGACCACGCTGGTTGGCATCGGCAGGAATCTGTCAGGCCCTGCTTTATTTTCGCTCACGGCTAGACTACGCTGAGGGCAATCCCACTGGTACAAAGTAGCAAATTTGGATCTGTAAAATGGCGTGATACTCATTGTTGTTTGCCCACAACGGCTATTGAATGTAGGAGTACGGGATGTCGCTAAATATTCTTCTAAGGAGGCAGGGCACGAACGAATGAAATTACCACACTGGCTTCCCAACGAGCGTTAGTCGTGTCCATATATACGCTAGATTGCTCACACTAAAAAGAGAATCATCTATCACCGAATGTAAAAAAGAAGGTGCTTTAAATTGTTTTTGTTTAAAAAGAATATTCGGATACTTAAATAAGCATGTTTTATTTACAAATACGCAGCCATTACATTTTGCAAGTGCATGTGGCATTAATGAGTAGCAGCTACCTATCCACTGAAGTGGATGCATAGACATAGAAAACTAATTTTTCTACGATGTTTTCAGTATTCACATTTTTCTTTAACTTGGTTTATTTACATCATAATAACGCTTAAGTCCGAGATCATGCTTGATTATGATACGGTTACGGGCACACTCGTTTGTCGGGGGCATCAGCCCCGGTGCAGCTACGTGAGAAACGAGATTAGAGCGAGAACTTCTCGCGCTGTTTTGCATATTTCGGGATAATAAAAGGCACAAGGGGCAGCTTCCGTCAGTATTGGTCGGCCGTTAAATGGGCAGTTCCTTTCCTTCAAATCATCATAGATCCAACCTGAGTGGGTATGTCACTCCACATAGTTACAAGTGGGTTGTGCATCTGTGTGCATGTGCACATCGTCTCTTGTTAATCGCAACGCCTTACTTCCATTGTCACCTCTATCTGTATATTGCCAAATCCAAGCCTTGCTCGAAAGGGTGCTTCAGTGTTGCTACGCTGTAGCCCCTTTCATCTAGGTAGGCTTGCAGCCACCAACGCGTCCAGTTTGATTCAGGGGCAGTGGTATCAGCGATAAATCGACTACAACCACCATGGCGAACAGATAGGTGTCGCTACCGCCAGCAGCCGCAGCAAGGTAAAGACTCCAGCAAGAAGTTCGTGATGAGCATGAACCAAGTTGACAAAGGAGCCACTTCTTCTTCTTCTCATTTTCTGACGGCAAGTCGATACTAAGAATTCCGGCAACGACAGGGAGGCACGTGAAAGCAGGGAATGTGAAGGATAAAGGGAGTATAGAATGCGATGAGAAGGCTGCATTATAATAGGGCTGATAGGTAGTTGAGCGTGAGTTGAAGTCGTTGCTGCGACTCGTTCCACCGTGGACTCCAGCGGCCCACGAGGTACTCACTGGCTCCAACAGCTCAGATTCCTCCTCGTTTTCTTTTAATGTAATGCTTCGATCTGTAGAACGTCACCGTTTTCTAGGTTTTTTCGTTTTCTTTCTTTTTCTACCTGAAGAAAAAGATGAAGCTGGAGCCCCTTTGAAGTAATTTTCCGCCGCTGTATTATATGTAGTGGACCCCCGAGCCCAACGGTTGGCTCTGATAGGCCCCTTGCTGTGCGCGTTTTGCCTTCTCGTCCATGTTTGGCTTTTCCTTTTCCATCCCTATCTGTTCGACGCTGTCACGAAAACTTTTGCGGAGCAAGGATCAGAGCTGCTAGGGAAGAGCTAAGTCCCGGAGTGATCCGGAATGCCTCGAAACGTTCTACTCTGCTCAAAGCTAGAATTAGCTTGTACCCAAATCTCCTGCGACCCTACCGCCCGTCGTCTCTTACCTCGTGAGTGTGATTTTTCATTCCATTTGTTCCCAACACGATGTGGCACGCCGCGAACATAGAGTTAGTCAAGACGTGCAGAGAGAATAACGGGAGGAAGGTCGTGTATGTCCCACCGCAACGACGTGCTCTCTTGGCTACGTATTTACCCGTTGAATATTCGTACTCTCGTGGAAGACAGCAGCAACGCCGCTGCTCAATTTATTCCGATTTCCGTTGTAAACTCTGACCCACACAGGAGTACTTGTCTTTGGATCGGACAGCAGCTGGACTATCATCTACGGACCAGGGAGACGCAGAAACCACTAGGGGCGTCAAGAGATCCATTCAAATGGAGAGACGGCTACCCCTAAAGCTCGCATTGCTTCGCAGTTCTCGCGCGTCAATGAGAGTACAAATCACGACAATCTGGGTAGAGGCAAAGTCTGTTCGTGTCGATAGAGATAGAATGAACGCGGAGCAGAAGTAAATGTGGCGGAGGTTGTACATTTCTAAGAGCTCAGGCCGTATAAATAGGATATGAAACTGAGAAAAAAAAAAAACTTCTTAGATAAGTTAGCACTGTTACCCGTAAGTCGTGGGCTTTGTCCGAACGCTCTTCATTGGTTCTTTGCCGGATAGTCGCCGATTTTCGAATCTTATCTGCCTCTTACACCAACGACCTGCAACGAACATGGAAGAAAGAAGTGCTTTCTCTAAAAACGTATTAAAGTCAAGCAGCCCAGCTTCGAGACGAATTAACCTTAATCTGATCTCTTTCTCGTCTTCTAGACATCGTTGAAGAACGAGACAGACAGGCTGTCGGCAACAGCTGGCGTGTGAACAGCTATTTCTTACCATCGTTTTTCTCCCGACCGCTTGGAAGCCATCGGCGTCCCTTCTTGCTGACACTAATGTCTATACTGCTTTATGCTAAGTTGTGTATAACTTTTCCCCTTCAGTTGGATAGGGCTGCATTTGCGATACGGTAGTAGCCGAATAACTGAGGCGGCGTCTGCTGGTCTGTCGATCAGCGTGTTGATGCGCAATACGGCGTCGTTTGGTTTTCTATGGTAAGCACTAGGCCGCACTCTATTGACTCGACTCGTGACAGGTACTGGAAAGACCGACGAACGAATACGTGTTATTGCTTACATGTCGCATGATAGGGTTGCTTCCCCTACGGAGAAGAACACCAGGTTCGTTTTTTTGCTTCTACCCTTCCCGCCTTTCCCCCAAAAATTCATCAGTGTATAGATCCAATTGTAGGGGCTTTCTGCCACTCTGGAATCCAACTTACTTCCTAATGACTCGCTCGGGGCATAATGTCGGCGAGTGGTAATGCCAGCTACTAATCAGCGCTCCCTACTATGATGTATAAGAGATACACGCCGTACATACTTCTGCATAGCCATCTTCATAAACAAACATAGCCATTTGCAGAATGAAAGCCAAAAGCAAGGCAAGCACATGTACCGACTCTGCTAGGAAACTGAGGGAGAATTCAAAAATTATTTTCTGCTGTGATACTGTAGACCGCGCAGTTACGACGTACGAACGTACGTGTCGAGAAAAATATCAGTGCGTAATCTGCTTATACATGCAATCTATTCGGATTATTTTACTCTTAGTAGATAGAGCTTTGCCACGTTCGTACCAGTACAGTCCAGTTTACTTGCTGGCAACCGTCTTCCATTCTTGCCGGCCCCAGTTTGTTACGTCCACGTTTGAAATATTCAGTATTGAAGATACCAGATATTTATCCGTGCCTCTAAAACGTCCTGCGGAGGGCAAAAGCATAGGCATCAGCTTTAATATGCACACTGCTTTCTTACTCCATTTCCTTCCATAAACATATGTTGGCCAAAGCCAGCTAGAGACCAATATCATGTTTACGATACTGGAACATGCTATATAGTATACTATACCTCTAGCATAATAGTGAATGTGCCGACCTACATGACAGACGCCTTGTTCAGTTACTGGAGTTTATTCTTTTTTCTCTCTGCTGACCAATCTTAAAGGCAATCAGTATCTCTACCCATACATTTTCTTCCTTTACGCAGCCGTTTTTCCGCCTAAGATACCGTCCACTTTTGGCCCCCCAACCTTTTGGCGTTTTGAAGGATCAGCAGTCGGATCACCAACTAACCGATCCATCCTTGCAGATAAATCCGAAGCTTAAGTACACGCTGTGGGAAACACAGGCGATAAAGTACGATACCATTATCAACTGATTATTGGATTTTTGGATTTTGCGCCGCTGACCCCCTCGATTACCACCCTGCAGCTCCACACTGCATGTAGACACAACCTTGCCCCCATTGCACCTCTACACTCCCGTCCACCGTTTCGTCTGCATTCGCAAACCGTTCAAGCTAGGCATGCTACCGATCACCTTAACTCTGCACTATTCTATCCCACTCATCCTGTTACGCCACACCCCCGATCCCTTTTTCTTCTTTTTTTTTCTCTTTTTTTTCTTGTGTGCGACAGTAAGGCCCACCAACAACGACTCAAGCATCAGCAGCCGCCGCCGTTGCAAACTTTAAGGTGAAGGGTTTTCTTCGTTTACTGCAGTCGACAGCGGGAGCACTAAGCGGCCGACTGGCTATCTATCCGGGATCGAATCAAATTATCTAAGTGCATTTCTTTATAGTGGCGACAACGAAGGCGGCGGTAAGTAATGCTCGAAACGAAGCAGACTACCAATGCAGTGGTTCATTAATCGAGGAACGTTAGTTCTCTATAAATTGTGGTCCCTCTGAGTCTCTTTGAAGTACTGTGGACTTTAGCAGATCTCTTTTTGGCTGTTGTTGCCGCTACGGTCGCGCCCGCACTCGTTCCCCTTTAGTAGGTGCTTCCCAGACGATAAGAGCACACAGTTTGAAAGGGTCGTGCTCCTCTTTCCTAATCAGAGACGAAAGCGACCCTCACTTCGCTATGAGCGACTTGCGTGACGCTAGCAGCCGCCGGCCAGCCCCAAACTAGACTGGACTTGACCCCAATTTTTCGCCTCGACGACTTGGATACAGGTAAGGAAATTGAGTGGAAGAACAAGAGAGACTGCTCAAACAATAATCAATGATTCCTTCTTCGTTCAATGCAATTAGTTTCATTGATCCAGCCGGAAGCATTAAGTGGACAGCGGAGTTCGGCGAAGATCCCTCAACCAGGTGGCCAGGCGATGGTCAGTCGTGACGGTGACGTGTGTAGTCTGATCTGATGGTCGCCCGGTGGTGATATCTAGGAGTTGAGGCCAATACCGGAATATCGTGAATGCTGTTGAAAGACGAGGAACGGCATTTCAAGTAACTACTTACGAACTAAATAGGGGCAAATTCCAGTGAATGGAAAACAGACGGACGATCGCGGGTCAGTGCGAATGACCACTGCAGTCGAACGTTCCTTCCGTTTTTGCTTTAGCAGCAATGGGTACAGAAAGCAACGATTTTCAACAAATTTACAATAACGACCAAGTGGAGCATTCAAGCGCGCACGAATCGCGAAACGCCATACTCTCGTATGGCGAATTTGCTCTCGTACACATGTAAAATATCCGATAGGAACAAAGGACTTGAAATGAGACAGTAATTTTTATGCTTAATGAAAAAATGATACCGTAACTAGCAAGAATATGGACTCAATTTTGTATGCCTGGGTAGCATAGCTAAGGACAGGTACAACGTAAATGGTGACACCAATGTAAATTGGGGTAAACAGGATCAATGAGATTAATGTAACGCAATATGTAAGACATACAAATTATCCGAGTTTAGCCGGGTTTTCGTGTTATATCAAGTTAGCACGAACGGTCACACAGCTGGAGTGCGCACCAAAATTCAATTTCTTTCAATCCAATGTGTAATCCGTTCAGAAACCGAACTTGAAGTATGCAATTACTTCGAGCAAGAATATTCGTTGCCCAGTAGGCATTTCTGACCAAAGCGATAAAGGGTTTTTCAACGCACCGTGTCCTATGATGTGCGTTACAGGCCAGCAATGTCTTGAACTCGTAGTAGGTCTCCAAGGAACAAGGGAATATGTCCCGTAACTATTTTGCGTCGAAGTTACGGTAAGACGGTAAGACACGACCCTAAATTTAGGGAATTCCGACTCGACTATCTAAATTTACAATCATTCTGTGTCCGACGCGTTGAGATGCCCCCCTCCCCCAAGAGAGTAAGTAGCTAGCTTAAAAATGGCGGAAATAATGAATTTTGTAGAATCGGCCGTCGACAGCCACCAGGACGCAGATTAGGTGCTACTACGAACCATTTACCTACGACTCAACTTTCGACATCCTGTAATGCTTGTTTTAAAAAGGTCGATGAGGTGTGAACCGATGATATCACGGATCGTGTCGTTCAATTCGACCGCGTGGTGTACGTCACACTTTTCATGACGACAGGACAACATTCCTCACTCGGATGAAACAGGCTTGTTTCAAAGAGGACGCGAACGAAAAGTGCGCTTAGGCATAGGCGTTTTCATACTTAGGCAGAACCGAGATTGAGGTTATAGGTCTCGCGAATCGTGCGGAACTCAGCGGGAGCTACAATCAATTGTGTTCGTGTTGTGCTCCTAGACCGATTCATTCCCAATAGAAGCCTATGTCATATGAGGCAAGACATACGAATAAACGTTTGGGTGAGCGCAAGAAAGCAAAAAAAAACGAATAGATCTTTATATTGATTAAATAAATCAGTTGTTTGCTGATCACGGAGTTAGACAAGTACGTTAAGTTCCGTGTTGTGACCGAGTTAAGTGTAAGCAGTAATCCGCGAAGTTAGTATGGTCTTGATAAACGCTTGGGAGAAAAGGACTAGGGGAACAAACTTTCTCTCGAAAACTTTCTATTCGATTTTATGAAATTTCGTGGAAGTCCTTCGGACATTTAGGTGATAGGGTATCAAAACTAAGCTATAAATACGAGGCGTTAATGGAGCTTTTTGTCATCGAAACTTTTCTGCAAAGAAGAAAACTTCAACAAAACATATACTGATTATTCGATTGAGTGTTCCAGAATTCGCTAATCCATTGGTGGCGCATTTGCATAGAGGGCACGTATGAATAGACGCTGCCTATAGCTGTTGCCTATTGACAGTAGATAGAAACGAATCGTGTGTGCCGTCTGTGCTGCCAGGTGGTTCTATAGCGAAACTACAGTCAACTAGTAACGAACATAACCTGAATTTTCGCAGAAACCTTCGTTAGTCTCGTCTGTTGTCGGTGTCCCTATCCATTCAAGCAAGCTTCAGCTACTTTATTCCATATTCAGCAATGAACTTGAAGCCGTCTTTCTAGTAGCTTCTTTTGACACAATTGATTGCAGGCAACATCACGTTCTGGGTAGTAAAACATAAGGCTTTTATGGGCGTAGCTTCGACTGGCAACTGCGGTTGCTAACGGTCAATGTTTGTAATCCCTAGAAGAAGGCTTTCGACTTGCAGAATATTGTTTTATTTGTACCTGGTATTTTCGTAGAGATTACTTTTTTTTTTTTTCCTGGAGAATTTCCAATATTAACAATAGAACCGTACAGTATGTGTAACATGCGTAAGAGCTGTGATGCACCTGAGTAAAAGTGAAACAGAACAAGTAATTATCAATATTATGCAAAAACGGTAATAGACACAAACACTTTGAGCGGTTTAGTATATGCAATCATATAATCAGTGTTTATCATCACTCGTACAAATATCTTGCGTACGCAAAGGCAGCACAACGTGCATCACATTAACAAAAAAAAAACTCAAGAGAAAATTTGCAATGTCATTCTGACACAACACTTGGGTATGCTAGCGCATATAAGGAGCGTTACAGAGTCTCATAGGGCCAACGACTGAGAGTCGTTGACGACGGAGAGCCTTTCAACGCTATACCGTTCTGCATGGTGCGTCTCCGGTGCGGCATCTCACATGTTATAACTATCACTCGAAAAGGGGAAGCGTGTGCCAGAAATAGAAGGTTCTGAGGCTGGCCTTCGGGGTGATCTTGGGGGGTGGGGTAAAGAACAATAACACAGAGTAGAGGTCGACCTTTCTCGCTTATATTGCGAGTACCTTTTCACTTCCTAATTGTTAACTGTCAGGTTCCAAGGGGAATACTGCTGCTTGTACAACCGAGTAAAATTATTTTTCAGTAATGCATAAATGGAAGCTGATAATTATGAATGTGAACTAATGACGGCGCTAAGCAAGTGATTTGACAAATACCGTACCCACATTGTGCTATGGTGTATATATATATGCATGGATTGGACCCTTCAGACAGTCGTTTCCCGCTCTCACTATTTCTATATATATATATATGTGTGTATATATATGTAAAGATATACATTCGTTTGTATAAGAGAAGCACCGTCGTTAGTACTACAAGCTTTAGATATATACGGGGGGTAATTTGCGTGGAATTCAACAATGTTACGCGTTTTTTTTCTTTACATGTTTTAATAAGAGGGAGAAGCAGCCGTTCCCGCGATAAGCGAGGAACGCACAATCATTGATTGCTCTAAGTATTCGATATGGTGCTGTTCGGTAAGTGCTTATTGTTGTAAAAGTTCAGCTTTTTGTTGAGGCTAAATGACCAGTTCATCTGGCGACAACGCCGCTCCAGCTACTACCGGCTACACATTCCTTGGTACCGATACATCACTAAGGAGCTGTCCTATTCAGTTCTAGCCGCAATGCTGCTCTATGGAAGGCCGATCAACAGGCCAAAGCAGGCAATGTTACTTAGCCAAAAAATAAAATGTACAGAACACGTTCGAAACTGTGCGTTCGCTTGTTCGGCGCTGCTTTTGCCTCTTTTTTTTTTTCTTCATTTTGTTGATACTGCCTGCCATTGAGCCTCGCTTGTTCTTCCCTGAAGGGTAGACCCTGCTTACCTCAGCAGCGGGCACGATCATATATTATGACTTTCATCCTTCGTTCGTGTATGCTTGCTCATAGCTTATACCTGCCGCTTGTCTATTTGGCCTGTCAGTTTTTATAGAGCATTTACGCACCGTGGCAGCCTACAGCTGGGGAGAAAAGTAGGTAGATTAATCGGGAGGGTCACTTAATGTAGCGACCTGTTGTGCGCGATGAAGCGGCATTGTCTCGTCATTTTCAATATCCTGCAGAGCGGAGTGGTCGATTGGCTTAGCCCCGCGCTAAAGCTACCACACAGGATGAACATGTAACGCCTCGGTAAAGATCATATATTACAGCCATACACATAGGAATCTATGGAAGTGCTTCTTATTTATACTTCGAAAGGTTTAGAAAACAGGTGCTTATTGCCTGAACGACACGGGTAGTATTTTAATGAAACACGGATTTTATGGACTGTGTTCGTTGCAAAAAAAATGTCTGCAGGTTTCTACCTAT